ACGTGCTAGAAATTCCAGCACGTTCCAAGACTGCACAGGTGATGCCAAGAATATGTCAGAGGCAGCGCATATGAAAGCCATGCGTAAAGGGTCCAAGACTTGCTGTAGTACAAGAGTGTGCCCAAGACACAGGCTCTATAGACCTGAATCTTTCTATGTTCCATCAGCTTCTTATTAAGCCATAGTCTCTTTGTAAATCTGGAAAATGTGATGGCCGCTTTACCAATCATTTATTCAGCTCAGTGTTTAAAGAGAGAATGTCAGAGATAATTGATCCAAGGTACACAAAGTCATGGACGACCTCCAGTTCTTGTGTGGGATATTTGCACAAGGTATGAAATGTACCTGTTTGGAAAACAAATCCGTTACCACCCAGATAACTGTATTTCCCCCACTTTCAGGTAATTCCACTATAAAATCCATAGAAATTTCTTTCCATGGAGCAGTTGGCCTGGCTACATTTTGTAGTAAGCCAGCTGGTTTACCAGGCAGTCGTTTGGCTGAGGCACAGACAGGACAACTAGCCACATACATTTCAATGTCCTTTTTCAAGGTAGGCCACCAAAATTGCCTTTTAACCAAGTGTGGGGTTTTTACAAACCCAAAATGTCCAGCAGCTTTGGAATCATGAGCTTATTGTAATATTTAGTTTCTCAACTTTGCTGGCACATATAATTTAGCCCCCATCCATGCCAATCCATCTTTAACTGTACAGTTATTTGAGTGATCCAGGAACCAATCGTTAAATTTCAGAGCTTCTTTTAACTGTGGAGTTAAATCATTTGATAAATCAACTTCCCCTTTATTCTGGGCTCTAGTAAACATTGGAGCGACCAACTGTCTAGTTGGGACAATAGGGTGGATCATTTCTGGGCACTATTATATTGAGGCAACCTAGACAGTGCATCTGCCGTGAAGTTCTTCCCCCCTGGAATGTACTTCAATTAAAAATTAAACCGTTTGAAGTATTGCGCCCAGCGAACTTGCTTAGGTGACAATTTTCAAGGCCTTTGTAGAGCCTCTAAATTTTTATGATTCGTCCACACCTCAAAGGGGTGTAATCTGTGTTTAGTAGGGAGATAAGTCTATAATTCTTGATTTGTAATGGATCGGTCTCCTCTTTTGGAACAAGTGTGATATAAGCTTCTGACCATGATTTAGGTATCCTCTTCTTTAACATAACTTCATTCATAACTTCTAGCAATGGAAAATTCAATGATTATTGTAATGTTTTATAAAATTCTGCCAGAAATCCATCTGGGCCTGGTGCCTTTCCATTATTTTGTTTCTTAAGTACTTCAGTTAACTCCATCATCGTTATATTGCTTTCTAACATTGTTTCAATCTCTTTAGGTATCTGGGGTAAATTAGCATTCTGTAAATACTGTTTAACTCTTTCCTCATCAATATTCTCTTGTGTGTATAGTTTCCCATAATAATCTCAAATAATTTCCTTCTTCTCTTTACTACCATAGCAAACTTGGCCTTGGTCATCTATTAATTGCGGTATTTTCCTTGATATTTCTCCTTTTATATGCTAATCATCTACCTGGTTTATTTGCATTGTCAAAATAGTTCTGTTTGGCACCTCTAATTTTTTGTGCTAATTCTTTTTTCTATTAGACCCATTTTATGTTTGGTTATATCCATTTTTAACTTAATGTCCTTTCTCTGTGGCATTTTCTGTAGCTCTTTTTCGAGTTCTTTCTACTCATTTTCTAATGCCTTAGAGGCTAATCTTTTCATGGTATTTCTTTTCCTTGTATAGTCTATTATCAAGCCTCTGGCATATGCCTTCATTGTATCCCATACATTCTGGATTGATGTATCTTCTTTTTTGTTTTCTCCAAAGAAAAAGGCCAATTCTTTCTCCATCCACTGTGTGAAGTCTTTTCCCTTTAAAATAATATTATTTAATGTCCATCTAGATCTTCTTCTTTGTCCTTTCCATTTAATTGTCATTGGATTGTGATCTGCCCAGGTACTTATTTCAATATTTATTTCTTGAATATTACTTAACAATTCTGTTGACATCCATATCATATCTATTCTGGACCATGATAACTGTCTATTTGAGTAGAAGGTGTATGTTTAGTTTTAGCATTTCTTTCTCTCCATGTATCTTTTAAGTTTATTTCATCTACCATTTTAAAAAAATATTTAGGAAGAGTCTTTCTATTTTGCTTTATTGTTTTTTGTGCTGTGTAGTCCAGTTTATTGTCTACAATTCCATTAAAATCTCCCATATAACTATATTAACATAGTCCAGTTCAACTATTTTCATATGTAATTTTTTATAGAATCCTTCTTGTTTGTCATTCGGGGCATAAATTGCAATCAGGAGTGTTTTCGTGTTATTGTCCATTATTTCCACCATTAATATTCTTCTGTCATCATCAGTATAAATTTTGCTGAGATGGTCTCTTTAATATATAAAACCACTCCTCTTTTCTTACAGTGTGTCAAGGGAGTGAATATTTTCCCTAATTTTGGCTGTATCAACAGTTGTTCATATTGTTTTTTAATATGTACTTCTTGTAGGAAGATTATATTAAATTTTAATTTCTCTAATTTATGAAAGATTTTCCTTCTTTTAACGGCTGAGTTAAGTCCATTTATATTAATTGTAATCAATTTTTTTCTCTTCCATGGTTATATTTTATAATTAGGTTTGACGGCTCTCATGGATCTTAGTTCACGTTGTTCCTTGGCTTCCTCCTTTCCACCTACTGCACCTTCCTTTTTTTCAGTCATCATTTGGGAGTCCTCTTGGAATTCAATTAGTGAAATTTCTTTTTCTGCATCTTCCTCCCCGCTGAAAAATTCTGTGTAAAATGATTCAGCTTTCTCAATTGAGTCAATTCTATATCTCTGTTCTTGCCATGTAAACATTAAACCTTCTGGAATCAGCCATCTATAATTCACCTCTTTTTTAAGTAACAATTTGGTCAAGAATCAGTATTCCCTTCTCATCTCTCCCACTCTTCTGGGTACTTGTTTCAAGACCACAATCTCCTTATCTTTGTATTTCAATGTTTTCTCTCTTGCCACTTACAATATTTGCATTTTAATGGCTTTCTTTGTAAATCTGATGTGAACTTCTCTTGGTAGGCTATTTTTCATTGTGTATCTTGTGAAGACTTGATAGACCTCATCTATTCCATCCATCATCTTCTCTTCAGTTATTTCCAAAGCTTCAGCCAATATTTCTATCATTATCTCTGCTAGATTTTGTCCTTTTTCTTCCTCTATGTTTTGGAATGTAAGATAAAATTCTGATCTGTCCATCTCCCATCTCAGCATACCACTTTTATCTTGTTCAACCACAGTTAATCTGTTATCAATGTCTCCAATCTTCTTGTCTCTTTGTTTATCTTCTTCAATTTTTTGGAGTCTCTCATCATACTTCATCATCATTTGTTGGATGTTCTCCACTTTTTCATTGGTTTTCCCTGTTCTTTGTTCAATGTTCTCTGTTCTTTGTTCAATGTTCCCTATTCTCTTTTCAATATTCTCTGATCTTGTTTGAATATTTTGAATTCCTTGCATAATCATCTGCAGGGTCACTTTTTCTTGTTCATTTTCTTGCCTTAATATTGTCTGTATTGAACGTTGTCTCTAGGTGGTGGAGAGGAAGAAGTAGAAGTTGAAGAACCAGGAGCTGTTAATTTCCTACTCATTTTGAGGAGTTCAAAATCTTCAGGTTCTTCTAAACCCTTCAGAAGATTCTGAAACAGCACAGCAATCTAGGACTGGAAGGGATCTTGGAAGTCATCTTCTACTCCAACCCTCTGCTCCAGAAGGAGATCCTTACAGAATCATAGAATAGCAGGGTTAGAAGGGTGTGTGTGTGTGTGTGTGTGTGTGTGTTTCAGGTGGGTTCCTAGCTTTGGAAGGAGAGAGGGAAGGAGGGAAGGAAGGGACAGAAAGAGAGAGAGAAAGAGATGGAGGGAGGGAGAGAGAAAGAGAGAGGGGGGAGAGAAAGAGAGAGAGAGGGAAAGAGCGAGAAAAAAGAGGAAGGGAAAAAAAGAGAGAGAGAAAGAAAGAGCAAGAAAGGGAGCGAGGAGAAAGTGAATCAGATATATGAATAGATAGATAAATACATGGAAGAAGGGAGAGAGAGAGAGAGAGAAAAAAAAAGGAGAAGAAGGAAGGGCACAAACCCTGGCTTCAGAGGACTCTTTGAAGCAGCATAGCAATCTAGGGCTGGCCTGCAAGGTGGACTAGATGACCTCTCAGAGGTCATCTAGTCCAACCCCCTCTTCCAGCAGGAGATCCTTACAGAATGATAGAATAGCAGGGTTAGAAGTGTGTGTGTGTGTGTGTGTGTATCTGTCGAAACTCCCAAAACAGGTCAAGTAGCTCTGGGGAGATCAGTCATAAATTAGAACACTTGCTAAGCAACCGGCCATTAAGTGAGGACCACTTGTATTTGGTTTGCCAGTCACATGGCCACGTGGCCATGCCCACCCAGTCACATGGCCACAAAGTCACACCTATCTGGTCACGTAACCAAGCCACACCACCCAGTAACATAACCACCAAGCCACACCCACAAATTAAGCCACGCCCCAGAACCAGTAGTAAAAATATTTGAATCCCATCACTGGTTTTGAGGGTAGGTATTGAAACAGTTTATGTCCGGGATGTGAGGAGTCTGTAAATATTTTCACAGCCTCTTTTTGACTCGAGCATTATACAGTATATATTATATATAATAAGAATAAATATTATATATTCATCGTTATTCCTACTTTATTTCTCCTCTATACATATTTAGTGAGATACATGGTTTTATGCAATATGAAATTGTATCCTGACAACTTGAAGTCTGTTTGAATCAGTCTTGTTGATCCTTTTCATTTTCCTCCATATATTAAGGGCTGGGAAAATTAAGATTCAATTGTGTAATTGCCTAAGTCTGAATTGTCCATGATAGATATCAATGGGTAACCCATGAAATTTGGCTTATTCCCAAATAGAGCCTACATTTCTTTTAGTCTTTGAAGACTTGGAACAAATTGTTATCCCCAATTATGAAACAGAACCTGGCCAGCAAGCTCTTCATATACCTGAATTGGTAGGTACTAACTTATTATTCTTATAAAATTTATCATATAGTTCACATAAAGATAAGCAAACAAATTTGAATTTCTCATAGGATATTTTAGATTTGGGTTGTAGAATGAAAACTGTTTAAGGGGCTTTTTTAAATGTGGCCTTCAGCATTAAAAGTTCTAAATAATGGACTATTGGAACAATATGAAATAGTGATAATTTTATATTTTGGATTTGAATTTGTACATTGTTATTTTTGCTCTTCTAGCTCCTGTAGTGTCATAAAGTACAGTTTCAGTTTTGGGAGTTTCACTCCTGGCAAAATTTCAATACTACAGTCTGTTGAACGATGGGGGGGGGAAGCTCGTCTGAGGCCTTCTCACTGAATACCTCCTTTAAATCCCAATATTCTTCAGGAGTTTTCTTCTCCCCCCTCAGTTTCTCAGTGCCAGTGGAAGCCAATCCACCATCACCCAGTCCACCATCACCAAGACTAGGTACGCATGCCCCCAACTATCTCAATTCCAACTACAGCTGGCCTTAAATGCAAGCTACTCATGCAAGAAGCCTTGTGAATAAAATACCTGAATTTCTCCTCTTACTAAATACGGCTAAATTTGACATCATATTTGTCTCTGGAACATGGCTCAATGCATCTCTCCCTGACTCCATTACCACAGTAAGAGACTATCATGTTTACTGATCAGATTGTAAAATCCGTAGAGGAGGTGGTGTTGCTATCTTCTATAAAAAGTCCCTACATCTAAAAAACATCCAAGTTACCCAGGAGCTTGCTATTCCTGAGACCATCACATGTGAACTGTCCTTAAATATCACATTTTGGTTCTTACTGTTACACAGCCTCTGATTATGACATCAAACATGTAAACAAGCTAAATACACTAACATGGGCAGCATCCTGCCCACACACTTTTATCTTTCTTGGTGACTTCAATCTACCTCATATTAACTGGACCCTTAATGAATGTACAATTGAACCCACACATGCAAACTTCTACAATGCTGTAACAAATCTGGGACTAGAACAACTAGTAACTAAAAACACTAGACTTAATAACTGCCTTGATCTCATCTTCTGCAATAGTTTGAATTCAATTTATAGAATACAAATTAAAGAACCCTTTTCCAACAGTGACCACAACATGATTGACTTTTGTCTCAACATATGTCCACACAAAAATCATCACAACGATGGAATCCCCAATTATAACTTCAAAAAAGGCAACTATGATCTTATAAACAATGATTTCTCATCCCTTGATTGGCAATTTCTATTCACTGGATGCAATACTATAGAAGACCATTACAACATATTTTTACTTGAAGTCAAAAGAATCATCAAGCTATACGTACCATTAACAACTCCCAAAACCAGAAAAAACAAATTACCCATAACAATAAGGAAGCTTCAGTCCAAAAAGAAATCACTTTGGCGGAAAAACAAACCTGGTCATGTTGCCAACTTCAAAAGCCAATACAAAAGTTTATGCCACCAGACAAAAACTGAATGCACCAATTATCACATTAAACAACAAAAAAAAACCTTCTACGCACCAATTCCACCCGCGCTTTCTACAATTTTGTAAACAACAAACTAAGAGAATCAAGGTCCACCCCACCCCTGAAAGGACCAAATGGTAAAGACTGCAACAACACCATTAAAGCCAACCTCTTTAACACAGTCTTTGGCTCAGTATTTGTAAACAGCAATGGATCATGCCCAGTATTTCCTAGTCAAACCACAGACGACTACAATGATCCAATACATATTGGATTTCATATTTCACAGAAGACAATGTTGAAAAAGCACTACGCAATCTAAAACCATCTCTATTTATTGGACCAGAGGGAATATGTGCCTACTTCTTAAAAAAAGCTATCCACTTCCATAGCCGAACCTCTAAGCATAATCTTTGAAAAATCTTTCAGGACCACCTCCTTGCCAAACATATGGTCACTAGCCACAGTCATTCCCATCTTCAAAAAGGGAGACCCCAGCTTTGTTGAAAATTACAGACCAATCTCTTTATGCTGTGTCATCTGTAAAGTCATGGAATCAATTATTAACCAATCCATTATCCTCCATTTAGAGACAAACAACCTACTCTCTAATAAACAATTTGGTTTCAGAAAAAAACTATCCTGTGATCTGCAGCTCTTACACTGCAAAAACATATGGACTACACAACTCAATCAGGGCAAAGCAATAGACGCAATCTACACAGACTTCTGTAAAGCCTTTGATTCAGTGGTACACAGCAAACTACTCCTAAACTACTCCTTGCACCAGCCCAAGTTGATTTATGGGGTTAGCTGCTTGGGCTCTCCTAGCTGAGGCTGCCTCCCCCTCTTCCATCTCATACCTTTGATCAATCTGAGTTCCTCCAACAGATTCATTTGGAAGATGCAGGGTTTGAGCTAATTAAAAAAAAATTCTTTTATCCTCTTGCCGTGGCTCTTCTCTTCTACGCCATTGGGTCATGGTCACTCCTGGAGGGGGCTCTTCCTCCAGATTCTTCCAGCCGACTCCCAGAGACTATTTGGGCTTTACAGCTGGTTTTTCATCAAGATGTAGTTCTGCTAACAACTCAGCTTCCCCTGCCGCCTCTAACAGCAGGGAAGCTGGTCCTCCAGTCACTCCCAGGTCTTCTTGGTCGCTGGCTGGATTAGACATTGTGTTCAGATGCCCTCAGAAGAAATGTATTAATTCTCCGGGTAGGCTGGTAAACTGAGATTCAGAATAATGTCAGCTGGTGCTCCATTCAAAATCCAAGGAAGAAATACTTAGACTCCATTAATTAAAGAAAAGGTATCTTTAACTGGAAATCAAGTGGTAGCATTAAAAGAATTTTGAATCTGAGAAAATGAGTGCATAAATCACATATACAAGGTGATGGCAACGTTCCCACCCACAATAGTTCAAACTGTCCATCCAATAAAAAGTTGTATATAACATCATGTGGGCATCTCCAGGTGGTGATGAGGCCTCTGTCCATTGACCTTGATATATTTTGATAAAGAACAGTACTTGCGCATAGCATAGGAAAGAAACATAAGCAAGAACCTTCCCCCTCAACTTATACAGTTCTTTTTTGTAAAACCTCCAGCTCGCTTCCCATAACTATGTCCCTCCTCCTCCCCCTCTTTACTTATGACAGCCAAAAGATGCAAAGCAAAGGAAGGAAATCTTGAAGGCTGACAGCCACACAAATTATGTTTTTTAGATGTAATGTTTGACTAGAAGTCTCAGAACATAGATGATTTTTCCTCAGTTCACAATACTCACAATAAAAAGTTATTGAGAACATATTTTTTCATGCTTATTTGCAAATTCATATTATATACATACTTGAATAAACTAACCAAATACTAGATGGAAAACTTCAGATATTTTACTTTCTTCTATTTATTCCTCTGTGAAGACTGATTCAACATTTATTTGGCTGAAATATGCTCAATATGGATTACAATATTTGGGAGTGTGACATGTTTTTCAGATATCTCTCTCTAGGACTCTGCTAACCTACTTTTGCTCTCCTCAGCTAATCAACCACATATATTTTTATTCTCAAATTCCATTAGGTATATTAATATTTATATAGGTATTATGTTAATGTTTATTCCAGGTAGAGTTTGACCTGAATCCCGACTCTCTGTACTTTAATGATGGCCAAAGGAAAATTGACTTTGTCTTAGTATATGAAGATGAAAGCAAAAGGGAAAGTCAAAAAACTTTTCATAAAAAGCAAAAGGTATGAATTGCTTTCGATTTGATACTGCTATTGATAAAGCTTTAATATTTACAATACCTTCCCTTAATTCATTAATTTAGATAGATTCCTTTTAAGATTCTGATAATTTCTAAAAGGTTCCTCTTTGTCTGTCTCAATTCCACCAAGATGAGTAAGATTTAAATAACTTATATAATTTCAGACAGGAGGAGGATTTGCTCTATCACAATTCAATGTTCCATAACTTTCTTGGAACTGAACCATGTCAGAATGCACATTTAAATGTCAATAATATTTAAAAAGGAGAACAAAATCAAACAACCCAGAATATAGTATTTCTCTTCATTTTATTTTTTACAAGCAATATGTATGTATATTTAAAACAAGAATGGACAATAAAGAACAAGAATAATAACAAGTCAGTGAAGCAAAATGCACATATGTATTACAGTAATACATAAAGATTTCTCAAACAACAAGTTAAAGTTTGCCCTTAAAGAAACCACATTTCTCCCTTTCCATGCCCAGGAATTCTTTACATGAAAAGAACCATTCAACCACATGTTTTTCCATTCAAATTCAGAATAATTAAAATTCTATATGATTCTATGCAAGTCAGTCATTATTAAAATAGGGAAATAAAAAGGCTCAGATATCACTGTCTTGTAAGAGTCAGCTGTATCAGCATGTATATTCTGATCAGCACCCTGTTTTGCATTAGAATTGCAATAGCACTTATACTTATATACCTCTTCACAGTGCTTTACAGCCTCCTCTAGGCAGTTTACAGAGTCAGCATGTTGCCCCCAATAATCTGGATCCTCATTTTACCTACCTTGGAAGAATGGAAGGCTGAGTCAATCTTGAGCTGTTCAGAATTGAACTCCTGGAGTGAGCAGCAAGTTAGTTTACAGTACTGCATTCTAACCATTGTGCCACCACGGCACTTTTTCAAGAATCTTGAAGTCAGAATGGATTAATGATAAAAACTAACATTTGGTTTTTATTTAGGATTTATTATAGTAAGTTTCAGACCAGGTCTACTATGGGGAAAAAAATCCTAATCAATTTTTTCTGCCATTATGCCGTTAAAAGCACAAGGATAATTAGGAAAGGAGCTGATCTAGTAGTTTTATGGCATCTAAATATTGCATGTTTTATGTATCTTGGAATCGGATTAGACTTTAATCAATGGATTTTTTTATGATTGGAAAGACAGTTATTCAACTTTTGGAAAGTTCCACTGTTTGATAACTATACGCAGCTATCATACTGTTCCTCAATTTCTTTTAGTTGTTCAAAAATGGGAACAATGTAAATATTGCATAATCACATTGTTAAATTTAAGTAATTTCATACATGCAGCCTTTTCATTTTTATTAATTTGGCTTGTTTGTGGCTAAAATGTTATATTTGTAGGTATATTCATTCATTTATTGGCTTAATCTATGATTAAGATGGCAGTTTACATTAGATCCAAAATTACCATAATCAGAATAATTATTTAAAAATTCTAATTATTAACAATACCTAAGGTATTAACAACTAAAATGTCCATAGTAAAGATAGCAGTAAAACATCCATGGTAAAGTTATAATGAACATTCATAGAAACAATAAACAATATAACATCCATGATACAATATTTCATGTTAATAGATCACTTCAATTACCTGAAATAGCAGTCTTACAATGATCATAAATAAATGACCATCATTCATCAAAGGATTTCTGAAATAGTAGTCTTATCAATGTTTTGAAAGGCCCACAAAAGATGAACCAATATAGATTCTAGATAGACCATTTTTATGTTTTAAATGGAACAGTATTAAGTCATATTAAAACATCTTAAGGTAAAAATGTTGCATCTGTTTTGTTTCTAATTTCATATTTTAAAATAAGCACAATCATATAGAAACATAGTCACTGTCATATGGTTGCAAGTATAAATAAGGATGAAGCAATCCTTCGAGTAAGGAAATTCACAGTGAATTAGGACACATATTACTGGACAAACAAAAAGCACAATGAAAATAAACATGGTAATATTTTTCCACTATAATATTATTTTGCAGAATTACCATTAATTATTTTAGCATAGGAACTATCTACACAAACCTTGTCTCTTTATTTACCAGATTTTTGAATCAACAAATCAGTAATTTGGTTTCATACATCTGTTCTGACCCAAGCCTCATTCAAATCAAATAAACACAAAGTATATATAAAAGCAAACCTTTTTAATGCATCTCTGTGAATTCTGTTCATTCACAGCAAAGTCATTAAAACTAATTGTCCCAGATAAGAGCAAGCCCTTTCAAGGTGGTGAAAGGCTGCCAAGAACACAAGATTAATTGCAGGGAAATATCCAAAACCAAAAGTCTCCAAAAACAAACCACAAGAACTTGGAATTGAAGGAACTTCTTTGTTTCCTGCAAAGAACCCAACCCCTGAAGGCTGGCTTTTATCTCTTATGGGAGGGGCCATCACCTTGCAGCCTTACTCCCGACTCGCCTGTGCTGCTGCAGCTGCTCTTTCCACCGAACAGCCCTGCACATTGGGCACAGGCTCCTCAGGGCCTCTGCATCACTGCTGCCAGACTCCACAAGCTCTGAAGGCAGCACCCCACTCTCCGATAGTCCTGGCCCCATCCCTGCATCATACACAGGCCCCTCATCCGAGTCCTCGCTCTCAGAGACTTCAGCCATCTGCACCTGCTGCTGGCGAACCATAACAACATCTTTAAAACAACACATAATACATTTTTGTATCCAAATCAGGAAAATATAATTGCAGGTGGATGAAGACAAGTGAGTACACGTATTTTCAGTGATAGGGCAGGAGGAACATTTGAAGGAAGTGAAACAACTAGCAAAGAATTAGCCTCAGTTTAATCCCACCACTAAATTCTACTATAGACTGACATTTGCACTTGTGGTGGCTGTCCTATGCTTTAAATGTTGATGCAGGTTGAGGAGAATAGCTATGGCTGCCACACTGTGATATAGTATACTTGAGAAGAGATTGCTGCTTTTACCCAGTCTTTAATTCGATATGGAAAATGAAGAACAGAAAAGCTGCTAAGATGTTTAACTAAAGTAGATTCTGAAACTTACAGTTCTGCTTTTCATAACTTCTTCATAACTGCACCAAGCCATATAAAGATTAGTCATGCACACAGCCAACATTTTAATGCAGCAGCTGCTGGAGCTATCAGCTTCTCAAATCAGGTGGAACATCAGGAGAGGCACTTGAGTGTTTTGAGATGACTGTAAGTGGCATTGTTGTTCATTCCTATTTTAGCCCTTATTTGTCCTTTGACATTTTGTTCCTAAGCTATATGGAATACTGTTAATACCATGGAAATAGGGATGGCTCTCCAAAACCTCTTTGCAAGGTGACTGTCAGATCCCTATCGTGATAGTGCCATTCATGTGGCCAGGGAACCCTGGATTCTTTTACTCATTTATTGCTCTAATCCCGTTTCCTTTGTATCCTGTAATTTCCCTAGTTTATAACTTTTACCCTGTCACCAATTCTGCCCTGTGCTTTGATTTACCTTGGGGAATGTACAAGGGGGGAGGGCCATCTCTTTTTTCTCAGTTTGGAAGCCTCACAGAAGAAGCACATGGGAATGACTCCTTATCTCTTTCTCAGGACAACCATTTCCACAACAGCTTCATACTTGTGGATTGGCTCATTCAACATCAGACTGAGGGGAGGGGTTTCAAACCACTTTTTCCTAACAGAATGGCCTGGGGGAGACTCAGACTTTGCTTTGCATTGTCCTGCATTCTCTTCCTTTCAATAGAAGTTTCCTTTTGAAATACTAAAGTTTTGATAGTCCGTGTTTTCTTGAACGGGAAGGAGAGGCAGGACCTTGCAGTATCTGAATTAAACACCTTTTCAAATGTTTTTATTCTGGGGTCAGAAACTGCAATTTAAATCCCTGAGCTATGCTTATTTTTCCGCAATATTAAATCCCATTTAAGATTATCAGAATCACCTCTAAGGTGTGACCAAATGAAATACCAATGGGAAAGTAAGAGTTACACTGATAGAGTTTTAAGATGTATTGTAATCCTCACAATCAGCTTGGGAAGAAAAAACAAAAAGTTGGCTTATATATAAGGCTTACTTGTATAGTTCTCCTTCACTCCATTCTTCTCTCTTTATTTCCTCCCCCTCCTCCTCCTCCTCCTTTTACTGCGGCTGCTGATAGTGTTCTCGTTTCTTCTTCTACTGTATTTTTGAAATGAGAAACATGGTTCATTCTGCAAGTTAAAATTTAAAGAAAATTTATTAGAATTCTGGTTTGGAAGGTAATTAAAATAAATAATGTCTTTATCACAACTGCCAATGGTGGTTTGCTACAAATTCTATAACAGTTAATGAAAGAAAGTTGCAAGTGAAGAAAAAAAAAGTACTTTCATAGTGAAAATCATGATTATGATCAAATTCAAAACTGTGTTCAATGGCTATAGCAAAAATTCCAGTTTAAAAGAAAAATCTAATTTACAATTAAATCAATTTTTATTGACTAGTTTTACTAAATAAATTCATATTTTATTTAATTTCTTTGAAAACAGACATTCTTGGTTGTGTACCTCTGCATTAATTGCTGAAGGCTAAATTCAAAATTTTGTTTCATTGATAAATAAAATTAGTCAAAACAGTGTTTTTTTTTTGTTAAAACGTTTTCATTTCTTTTGAAAGATATGAATCATAAAAAAGTTTCACAATTTTTAACCAATTTTAACAGAGGAAGAGACAAGTCTATGAGTCAAACTTGATAAGCCGTGGTTTGCAGCTTGAAGCCACAAAGTCGGTGAGTGCAGTCCATTGTACTTTTTACAAATATATCTATTGTTGCATTAAAAAGAAATGAATTTATACAGAAGTATGATATATGCATTATATACACTTATATAAACAAATAAATAAGGGAAGAACAAATCTACTATCTTAAGATGCTTTTCCTCCTCAGTGTTTCATATATATATTTATATATAATTATTTATAAGTATTTATATATAAATACCCACGGAAACTTAAGAAAACACACACAAACACACATATACATATACATACACACACACACACACACACACACACACTACACAAGCCTGATTATGGCAGATGAGACTCTGCTGAAACGTCCCTACAACTTTAAAAGCACAACTATAATGATGTGGGAAAATACCCAAACAATATTAGATGAGAAGGGAAACTTAAAAACAAGACAGGAGCTGAAATATTTGGAATTTGAGATAGAATGGTGGGCCTACTTACAATTACAATCAAGGTATCGTAAAAATATGAAAGAATGGAGTATTAGTAAACGGAAAACAGAATTAGATAAAATATTATTAGGAGCGGATGAGAAATTGATTTTAAAAACTTATAAAGTACTATTGGAATATAAATTGGAAGAAGAAAAGATGAAAGAAACTATGCTGGCCTGGATGAAAGATTTTGGATACAGATTCTGGAAGATTGGCAAATTTTATGAGACAAGAATAGGAAAATTACCCTGGCGGCATCATATAAAGAAAATTTACTAAAAATGTTTTATCAATCACACATCCCGCCATCAAAACTAGCAAAAAGGTATCCCAACTTATCTCCTAAATGCTGAAAATGCAATAAAGAAATTGGAATGTATTATCACGTATGGTGGAAATGTGAAAAAGCCCAAATATATTGGCTGAAAATCAGAAACTGATTAGAAGAGATGTGTAAAATTAAAATAGAGTTTGTTGGGTATATGGATACACCAACCAGGTTTGGGTTGAATAAATATGTAAACCTAGGATTAAGTGTCTTGTAGCTTTAAGCAAGAAACTGCAATGTCATTGTGGGTGCGGTTGCAGGCAGTAATATAGGTAGGAAGGGAAAACGTAATAGACCCCCTGCTTCTGGATGCACCTGGTTCTGTTTCTGGTCTGCTGCCTGCTGTGTTGGAACGTCTATCTGCTTACTTTTGGAGGCTACTGTGCCAGATACCATTTCAACTGAACACAAGGACTGTTTGCTAGGTGAGCTGAGGATTCAGCGTTGTCCTTGAGAGAAAGGTATCGGAAGGAGAAGATATTCAAGCAGATAAGAACATTGTAATTACTGTTAATGGACTTGATAACTGGATGGATATACTGGATAATGATATATGGACTGAATGACACTTCTTAATCTCTGTGTGCAATAAATAACTATTTTAAAACCACAAACAGTGTTTTTGTCTCCAGTGTGTGTATACTCTTGGGCCCACTCTCTCTCTCATTTGCCTGCCTGGCTTGACTGCTGCTGCATACTCTGCTTGGGGGTTTATCCCCAAACACTCACA